GGGGCGACCCATCCCTGCACAGGGACCAGGAGCTGCCTGTCCGCCAAGGGGCCGTGCCTGGTCGTGGAGCTGCAGGAGGGCGCGCTGCTCTCCCGGGGACCTGAATAAAGCATTGGAAAGGCAGCAGGTGGCGGGCGGGGTGCCCCTGATCATTATGTAGCCACAGAGCCAGGCCCAGCTGGGGACATGGGGCGCAAGGCAGGCCCCAGCCTGGGTAGAGCTGGCCTTCTTGGGGACATTCACAGCCTGGGAAGGGGACAGAAGTGACAACAGATTTCATGAGAAAACGGCAGAGCCTAGTGGAGACACAGCCCCCGATGGTCAGCTCCTCCCGGCGGGGGCTCTGGGCTGATGATAGTGGGCTGAGCGCTGCGCATAACGGACAGGGCGACACCGTGCCAGTCCTGGGTCTGCAGACGAAGTGGAAGCGACCGTCGATCCCAGACACACTGGTGGGAGGGACACGGCAGAGTGGCTGGGGAGGGGCAGGGCCGCACTGGGCACCCTCAGACACAGGCGCAGCACAGGGTAGAGAAGTCCAGCTTGGCTGGGGCCCCTGCGTCGCCGGCCTTCTTGTTGACCTTGGGCAGCAGCAGGACGAAGGCCATGGCCAGGGCACAGTGGTAGAAGCTGTGTACGTAGGTGTAGTCCCACTCCTGCATGGGACAGGGGGACAGACCGGCTACTGGGCCCTGCTCAGAGCTCAGTCCTGCAGGAGTAGGCAGGGCTCAGCCCACTCGTGCCCCGCTGCCCACCAGACTGCTCTGCACTGCAAGTCTACACTGAAGGTCTCCAAGCAGGAGGACTGGGCGCCCCTCCCCCTCTTCCCTCCCTTCCCTTTTCCTCCTCCTCCCTCCACGTCTCCCATACCCATGCCTTGCATGCTGCTGGTGGCCCTGGGGTAGACAATGACCCCATTGCAGGGAGAGGAGGCAAGGTGGGTGGGAGACCAGCTCCTGCGTGCATGCCCCCACCTGGAAGAAGAAGCGCAGCATGAGAGCCAGGGCCCCGAAGCAGAGGCCAGGACCAACTTGCTGGGTGTAGACCCTCCTGTCGGGGTACAGGCCCCTCTTCTCCTTCATCTTCCTTAGCTGCAGGCACAGGGGCAATAGCCATGCTTTTGGGCTTGGAGGGGCACTGACTTCCTGAGCCATCTGGCTAGGGGCTGGCACACCTGGGCGCCCCTCACCCGGGCCACCCCACCACGTGCATGGCAAGTGTACCCAGTGGATTCACCGGGCAAGGCTGAGGCAGTGGCTGGGCTGCAGACCTCGGGCTCTGTGCCCAGGACCCACCCCCCTCCAAGGAACCCAAGGGGACTGTGGGGGGACTGCGACATTCCCAGAGCAGGTCCTGGCTCTGGGGCAGCCTCTTGGGCCACATCAGACATGCTCCCCAGCTGGGGGCCTGGCGCTGGGCAGGGGTGCCTGAGCCAGGCTGTGGAGGGTGGACTCTGGAAAGATGGAGAGTGTGGGGTGATGAGGTGTCTGCCGGCTCCCAGCCCTGGAGGTGCTCCAGAACCTGGCTGCCATGCGCATGGACGGGAGGTGCATGGTGCATGCCACAGAGGGAGGGAGGGGCGCAGAAGGACAGCGCTCGGCTGGCAGGTTCTGCCGCCACAAGTCCTGATGCAGTGCCCGGCACTCCCTGCTGCTGACAGGTGCTGCTGGGCATGGCTGCAGGCCTGGGGAGTGGACATGGCCACAGCCATGGAAACTGCCCTCTGCTGGCCAGCCCTGGGGTCCTGGGAGCCCCTGCTCCCCAGCTCGCTCTCTCACTCTTTCTTTCTCTTTCTTTCTTTCTTT